CTTTTTTTTTAATGTCAGTTCATACGGTTACCAGAAACCATTGAGCAGGACAGGATGTGAGCAGGACAGAGGTCATTTCAAACAGACTTATCAAGATCAGCAGTTTAACTAATATGTCTAGAATAGATCAATTAATCTAAAATGAGCTTAACTTTGAACTAAAGCTTTATGGGGAACATCAAAATTCCCAATTGGACTATAAGGCACTTTCCCGCTCCGGTTCCAAATTGCACCGACGGGATGATCCATAAATTGACATAATGGAGAAATACAAATAGTCTGGCATATCCTCGCATATACCTTGCCATAGCTTATACCGGGCCTCCTCTGAGGGTCCAACCTCAGTGAAAACCCAATTATAGCAGCTCCACATTGCAGCCGTATAACATGGAAGAGCGAAAAGAGTTAAAAGAGCCATTACAAATGCCATGGAGCACTTTTAGCGTCTCGCAAGGTTAATGATAACGGTACTTGGCAGCTGAAATGCTCAAGTAGCTTTTATTGTATCATAATAATGAATCAATGGCGTAAAGATAAAATAAAATAAATGAACTCCGAAGTCGATGAGTAAAATGTATGTGCCGCAGCACAAATAATAATAAAAAAAAAAGTGGGCCGCCAACGGGGCCCTGTTTAAGTAATATCTTATGATGTCATCTTCTTGAAAAATATTTGCCTGCAGGTCACTGCTCTCTGTTTTAAAGCCTTAAACGCTTTTGCTACAGAACATTAAATGTCTCCCCACATTATATGATACAGCGGCAGATGATTTTACACACAACGCTATCTTACTATATAGTGCTATATTTCCTTTTTCATACAGTTGGCACAAATTGCCTTCTTATTTGTCTGCTTTGTCAAAATGATTATACAGTAGGGTGTAAAAAAATTAGGTTTGCTATTTAGGTATCCTAAGAGCTTTCCTCTTGTTGATGTGTGTATCTTCTGCTCCTCATTTGGCCCGCCGTGTCTTATAGGAGAGACAAAGTGGATGTGGGCAGACCATGAGACTGTGCTGATGTTAGGAACGTTGTCTTACATCAATGTGTCTGCTGTAAAGCCTCAGGGCATAGCGGCTGATTACCCTCTGAGTGGACATGCCTCAAACGCTGCATCAAGTTGTCAAGAACTTTCTGCTCATCCACCATTTTTCTTCCCCTTTCAGATGCAATAATTTTGTAACCGCGACAGAATGAAGAGTGGCTGCGTGAAGATGCCAGTGCAGGAAAAAAAAATGAAAGACTGCTCTTGAGAGGAAAAAAAGTCAAGTAGCCAAGCAGAAGGCTCTATTGCCTGGATACCAGTATCCTGCTCATCAGCTGTTATATTCATTATTCATATTCCATAAGTGTTTTTTTTCCCCTATAGGAAATGCAGGATATGAATAAATACAGACTACTTTGTCATACCAATTTGTATGCAAATGTTACTTATGTGCCTAGCAGAAACAAACAGTTATATATATATTTCTATTAATTTCAAATGTAAAACATCATGAGCGCAATGTTTTGACATTAGTGTGACTAACTGAGAGTTTCTGTTTATTTGTAAAATAAACAGTTCATATTTCATAATAACCAAAATTACACTAAAAGTACCTCTCTTTCCCTACATATATACATATTAGTGCTGTCAAATGATTAATCGCGATTAATCGCATTCAAAATAAAAGTTTTTGTTAACATAATATATGTGTGTGTACTGTGTTTATTTATTATGTATATATAAATACACATACAGTATATATTTTGAAAATATTTACATGTATATACATTTATATATTTATATTATTATATTTTATGTTATATATAAATATATTTAATATATAAACATACCATGTTTTGCTAAATATATACATGCATGTGTTTGTATTTATCTATACATAATACATATGCACAGTACACACACATATATTATGTTAACAAAAACTTTTACTTTGGATGTGATTAATCGCGATTAATCGTTTGACAGCACTAATACATATTTCTTTTGTGATTTATATTGATAACTACATTATACATATATACTACTGTTCAAATGTTAGAGTCACATTACACTAACCTTTCCAATGTACAATCTATTAAGAGTTTTGAATAGCTAATAATAAATACAGTATATTTATAGAACAAGACTTAGAAAAAGCAACTAAAAATCCTCGTTTCCCGTTTGCTTTAAAAAATGATCTGTTCTTTCATCTTTTTTTTTCTCGTCATTTTTATTAAGCACACAAAGTCAAAGTGATAGTTTTGAAAACCGATCTTACACCAAAACAAACAAAAATGTTTCTTCCCTTTGCAACCTTAAAGAGTCAAGATATATACCAATGGAGTTCAGCATGAAGGCCTTATGTGATGTGATTAATCGCGATTAATCGTTTGACAGCACTAATACATATTTCTTTTGTGATTTATATTGATAACTACATTATACATATATACTACTGTTCAAATGTTTGGGGTCAGTAAGTTTTTTTTTTAATGTTTTTGAATGCCACTTATGCTCACCAAGGCTGGAATTATTAGATCAGTAAAAACAGTAATATTTAAGAAATATTACTGCCATTTAAAATGACTTCCTTCTATTGTAATACATTTTTAAATGTAATTTATTTCTTTGATGGCAACAATGTACTTTCAGCAGCCATTACTCCAGTCTTCAATGTGACATGACCCTTCAGAAATGCTTTTAATATATTTCTTATTATCAATGTTGAAAACGATTATGCAGCTTAATATTTATGTGGGAACTGTTAAATTTTTTCATGATTATTGGATGAACAGAATTTATTTGAAATAGAAATCTTTGTAACATTATAAACGACTTTACTGTACTTTTGATCAATTTAATACATCCTTGCTGAATAAAACTATTAATTCCTTTAAAAAAACATTTTGAATAAAAATATATTTATCGAGTCCCGAGTCTCATAATGATGTTTAACCCACAGTAGGCAGTCTAAAGAGCACTAAAAAATAAATAAATAAATAAATAAAAACCACAATGCGTTAAGACCGAAAACATGTTCTCACACAGTAAAACACAGCCCGAGTCAAAACTGGAAGCATGTTTAATATTGCTCTACTATTATCCTGAAAGGCATAATTGGAGTTACACATCTGAACTGATCGTAGTTACAGAATCATAGGTCTCTCTTTTTGCATTGAACAATATATACAATGTAAAATAAATACATTTACACAAATGGACATATTGTTTGGAGCACACTGTAATGATGCACATCACAAAAATATACAGTTAATAGTTTTACCGATGTGGAGCACATCTAAAAACTACAGACATGATTCTCACTACAGGTTGTTTCAGCAACTCCTGGGTTGAAATATATCATTATCATATGGATCATAGAAGCTTCTCAAATGCTCTTTTATTCTTTCCCCTTCCTCCTTCTGGATCTCGTCCTTTCCCACACTGGTTTATGCATTAGACTGCCAGGAAGCCTAGATGCGTTTGGCAGACGCGTCAATGCATGAATAAATACAACCAACACCTAAAACCTCTTCAACATTTAAAAATAGCAGTTGTTTGTATATCTGATCATCCTTATTTGTTAAAAGAGAAGGAAAATCAGAAAAAGAGGGGAAAGAAAGAAAAAAGGTACTATTTCAAAGCATTTTTCATCGTATCCTATGATATACAGTGTTAGTCTACAAGATAGGAGTTACACAGATGGTCTCTTGTACATATAATGCACCTCCTTTTAAATATTCACTTATATATCAGCATAGATTATATTGATCGTTTGATCTAGCGGTAGCTAGGATGAGTATTTTTTTAGAAGGTTATTTGAGAACCCATCATCTTTCTCCTGAGGATTCATACATCCAGTATTGTCTCTAATTCTACCCTGTCTCTAAAAAAATGAACCAAAATTAGAAAAGAAAAAACAGAAAGAAAATCAACGCATACTGAACAGCGAGACCTGCGATCACCACGGGTAGTACACTACATCTTTTGCATGTGACAGGGGAAAGGGGGAAAAAAAAAACAGAGATGTTTCAGAAAAAACACAGCAGACATGAAACACCAAGAAGCTGAACTACATTTTTTTGTTAATTTTTCATTCTTTTTTTTTCCCTTTGATCTGTTCCAATAAAATGTCTTAGGTTAGATTTATAATCTGTTAATTTACAATGTACAATGTGGAGCACATCTAAAAACTACAGACATGATTCTCACTACAGGTTGTTTCAGCAACTCCTGGGTTGAAATATATCATTATCATATGGATCATAGAAGCTTCTCAAATGCTCTTTTATTCTTTCCCCTTCCTCCTTCTGGATCTCGTCCTTTCCCACACTGGTTTATGCATTAGACTGCCAGGAAGCCTAGATGCGTTTGGCAGACGCGTCAATGCATGAATAAATACAACCAACACCTAAAACCTCTTCAACATTTAAAAATAGCAGTTGTTTGTACATCCTTAATCCTATTATCCTATAATTTGCAAAATAGTCCAATAGATACAGCATTTGACCACTAATTGAATCACATTGTACAACAACTGTACGTCATATTGCTTTAAATAAGAAAATATCTCTAAAAAAAAGTCGTCATGGGTACGGATAAATTACACTTTGATTTCTATGATGGATAGATGAGTGTTAAAAGACACAGTAAAATTGTCTTTAAATGGTTCGAGAGGTCTGTGTTACGTTTAGTCCAAAATTACACGCTACATAAAAGTACTTTGTTTTTCATTTTGTGCACTAAAAGCAACTTGGAAAAATGCATATCTGAAAGACTGAGTGTAGATCGGAACCGCTTGCTCTTGTTTTTCGTGAATCTTACAAAACTGAACAGAATTAGAAAGCTTGTCTAGTTTCATATCGCTTCGTTTTCATCATGATCACCTCAAGGTAAAGACAACACGAAAAAAAAAGAAAGAAAGAAAACAAAACCACAGAGAGAAAACAGCACCTCTTCTGCCAGGAGTTGATCATGTGAAAATTTTGAAAGTGCCAACATATTCTCAACAGCAATTTTGTTAAAAGAGAAGGAAAATCAGAAAAAGAGGGGAAAGAAAGAAAAAAGGTACTATTTCAAAGCATTTTTCATCGTATCCTATGATATACAGTGTTAGTCTACAAGATAGGAGTTACACAGATGGTCTCTTGTACATATAATGCACCTCCTTTTAAATATTCACTTATATATCAGCATAGATTATATTGATCGTTTGATCTAGCGGTAGCTAGGATGAGTATTTTTTTAGAAGGTTATTTGAGAACCCATCATCTTGCTCCTGAGGATTCATACATCCAGTATTGTCTCTAATTCTACCCTGTCTCTAAAAAAATGAACCAAAATTAGAAAAGAAAAAACAGAAAGAAAATCAACGCATACTGAACAGCGAGACCTGCGATCACCACGGGTAGTACACTACATCTTTTGCATGTGACAGGGGAAAGGGGGAAAAAAAAAACAGAGATGTTTCAGAAAAAACACAGCAGACATGAAACACCAAGAAGCTGAACTACATTTTTTTGTTAATTTTTCATTCTTTTTTTTTCCCTTTGATCTGTTCCAATAAAATGTCTTAGGTTAGATTTATAATCTGTTAATTTACAATGTACAATGCTTAAGAATATTCAGAAAATACCCCATACTAATACTGACATATTTCTGATGAAGGCTGTGGATTGCTTGCTTTGATACTTGAGCCTCTCTGCTAAAAATGTCATTTGGAAGAAGATTACGTCATGTGTATGATCTCTCTGGTGCTATTCCTCGTAAAAATCAGGACCGTCGTGAAACTAAACCTACGATGCTTCCACGTCTTCCCTAAGTGCTATTTTGCTTAAAGTTCAAATACTGCTTTAGTATGAAAGAATGTCAATAGAATTTCGATGCTGAAGTTAATATATATGCATATATAATTGGCTTGAGATAATGGTTATGGTCCTTCTGGCCATATCATGTATGTAATCTATCATCTTATGACAAGCACAGACAGAAAAGCGAAAGCTTCTGGAAATTCATTTTCCCAAGTAAGTGTGGCACTAAGAAAAAAACCAAAACAAAATTGCATACATTTACACCACTTTTTAAACATCTATTGCTTAGAGAAGATAGCAGGTTTTTGTCTTCATGGTTCGCAAATCGCGTAACACGGTGGTCGGTAGAAAAACATAACGATCAATTATTAACATTATATGAACAAACATCGTGTTTGATGACCATACCATATATTTACATCCTTCAGTACAGTAAAAATACACTCGAATAAAACATAATAAAATAGTCAATAAATAAATGAGTCTGTTCCTTGACCACTGCGATTCCTCTTTGCTCGGTATTGCATGAGAGACTAAAGCTTCAGCTATTCCCTGAAAAGACTGAAATGAAATCGGTAAAAGAGGCTAGACTGTTTGGAAGACTTGAAAGAAAACGACAAGGGAGTGACACACACATGATCAATCCGCATGGCTACGTAATGGTGAAGAGCAGCTTCTTCAAAGACGTGAAAATCTCCGCTTGGCTATCGCGTTGTTAAACTGCTCCGAGGACCTCTAATGTAATACTGCACATAGTCACTACGTCACGCTCTTATGGTAAAGAGGGTCGATTCCTAGATTCCTTCAGCAACATGGGAGCTGGACGGTACAGTTTGGGGAAAATTTTGCTTGCTGGTGTCCACCGGGTGGACCTCCTTCCTTTGGCAGGGCTGGTCTTTTTCGGCTCCAGAATTTCTCTTTTGAAAATCAACAAAATGTCTCAATAGCACAAAAAAACTCAGCATCAGATTTTCGAGAAGAACAAGTCGATGGCTGGTTTCAAGTCCCGCTGCTGAATAATGCAAGCAGTCATTTTTTCCACTTCATATTTTTCTCAATAATCACATTTTAAATCATTCTTATATTTATGTATCATTGTCAGTAATTAGAAGTACCATTACGGTTATGTTTTTAGTTATTATTTGTTAACGTTTATAGACAAAGGTTTCAGGAACAGTTAGTTAGTCAGTGTCTGCCCGGTGAAGGGGTGCAGTCAGTGACGTACCTCTCCAGCTCTCTGTCGGTATAATGCGGGGCCGGGGACGGAGTTAGACCTTGGCCTCCAGCAGCTCCAGAAACAGTTTGTGCATGGGCACTTTGCCGTCCTGTTTGATGCTGTAGAAGTGCTGCACTGCCTTGGTGGATGTTTGCCGGAGCAGCGGTAGGGTCATGAGCAGCTTGCCGGCCCGGCGTGGGTCCTCCACGTGCTGGCCCGCCTCGTAGTCCTGCAGGGCCTCATGCAACACGTCCTGGAGCTTCTGCACTGCTTCCACGTCCTCTATATGCATGGAATCTGGGGAACAAAATACAGAACAATGATGAGTGACTTTAGAAATAACTCAAACACAAATTCAGTAAAAAACAACATATGTCAAGGCAATATTTTTCTCACTAAGACATGACCAAAGGGAAAAAACAGTTAAGTTTTGCAACTACTCAAGTTTTAGTAATATAATATAAAGGCATATGACATGTTACTCTAGTGGTACTGTTTTCGTTTATTGTTTTATTTAAAATTTAAGGGTTTTTGAAAGTTGAAAGTTTCTTATGGTCAACAATGCTGCATTTAATTAATTAAAAAATGTAGCGAAAACAGTAAAATTGTGAATTAATTAACAATTGGAATTTTTTTCAGCATTACTGCATTCTTCAGTGTCACATGATCCTTTAAAATGAATTTTAATATGCTGATTTGGTGCTCAGGAAACATTTCGGTAACACTTTATTTTAAGGTGTCATTGTTACACGTTACATGTACTTACTATTACAATAACAATTAATTATGCATAATTACATGCAAGTAACCCTAAGCCAACCCCAAATCCTAACCCTAACCATATAGTTCATGTACATGTAGTTAATTAATATTACTCAGTACTTAAATGTATAATTACACTGTAACAAGGACACCTTAAAATAAAGTGTAACCAACATTTCTTATTATCAATGTTGAAAACAGTTTTGCTTTTTAATATATTTGTAGAAACCGTGATACATTTTTTTCATGATTAGAACAGAAATAGAATTGTACAGAAAGTTCAAAAGAACAGTATTTATTTGAAATAGAAATGTTTTGTAACATTATACATCTTTGCTGTTACTTTTGACCAGTTTAATGCGTGCTAGCTGAATAAAAGCATTTAAAAAACTACTAAACATTTTAAACTGCAATTTTAATGAAATGTATTAAACAAAACATTTAATACAAATAATATATAATAAAAACAATATAAAATAAATTATATACACATGTAATATATTGTCATAATTTTGATATAAAAATAAAATTGTATAGGACTGTCAGAAGACAAAATGACACATATTGTATATATGCAAGTTGTATTCAAAATCAACTTTGCTCAAAAATCAAAGGGAGCCCCCTTCAGTTTAAATTGGCATGACACTCCCGGATGCTAGCTCTGTACAGGCCTTTTTAACTTTTTTTAAAGTCCATTTCAGCCTGACGGAAAGCTGAGGCCTAGCAAAAGGAAAGGGATTATAAGAATGTGACTCATCCTTTTTTTTTGCCAGCCCTAAGCTCATTCTCCAGTGATTAAAGGCACACTTGAGTGTTAAAACGCTGAGGATGTCCTCGCCACGTGTTTACAAGCCTCTCTATGGGACTGATGAACGGCACGGGCGACAGAAACAGTGTTTGGAGGAGAGCTGATATGGCACTTGTCTAAGCGAGAGAAACAGTAGCTCGAGTCAGGAAACAATACCTCAGCCTGACTGGCATTGTCTGCCAGAAATGTCAAACAGGCTGCATTAGCATTTGCGCTCGTTAGTACAGCATTCACGCCCGTTCACCGCGACAGACGTGCCTCTGAGAGCACAATTAGTCTCAGGCAGCTACTATCTTTGCTGTGTACTGCTCCAATGGCTAATATAGTTGCACTTTTCCAGCTAATCCAAGTCTTGGATGCTCTTGTGAGTGCTCTGATGGTTTTATCACATCACAATGGTAAAGAAAGTGCTTTGTCTGACTTGCTCTTTATAGACTGACTCCACCAACACTATTGACGGTTTTCTACTGTGGCGTGTCAATCTGATCCTGTTCCCTCCGGATAAAATGTCCAAATGCACGCTGGCTTTTGGCAAAGATGTTACAATCAATGCATTGCCTCGAATCAGTTGTTACATACACGTTAAATAATAATTGTACGGTCAAGTATTGATAAAAGCGAGACCCTGTGAGGTTCTTCTATTAGTAGAGAGCACTGTCTGTACTTTGGGCTGGCCAGCGGGGCAAACGTCAGCCCGCTTTAGGCCACGGTTCGACATCCTAATACTTCATTGTCTGGAGCCCATCTAGAATTCAGACAGTGAGGTCTCGTCCATCAGTCACATGGGCTTTGGCCATCTGAAAAGTGACCTGTGATCCAACAGAAATCCCTGGAAGGAAAGTGCTTACCTGCACCTTTCCACACAAGCTGCTCTATCAATCTCACCATCGCTGCTGGAGGCGTTCTTCACGCTATTTGTGCCTTAAAGTGTGCTGCCACATTTACTATCAAAAAGACACTTCGCTAGACCTAAATTTGTTATGATTTTCCAGAATGACACTGGAATTGCGTCATTAAATGGCTGAATTCAAACTGTGGAGAAGATACGAGAGATCAAAGACTGCTTTACTTACTTTTCTTTTTTATTTCACATTTATGTCCTTTAAAAAGAAACATGCATCATGATGAGATCAACTGCAACATAAAGCTTTCAAATAAATAGGGTAAAAATGGCACTCTGACATCGATTGCTTAAGCAATATTGTGTCTATTGAAAGACTGTAAAATATATCGTCTCTGAGCGGAAATACTCAGCACCTTGGGGCTTTAGAAAATGGTGTATCATTTTTTTTAGCAGCTGTCTGAAACACTCTGCTCTCCACCAAAAAAAGAAGTGACAAAATGGCTCACCTTTGAAATCAGACATGATGCATGTCTCTCCTGAGAAAAGAGTGCGGAGAGAAGCCGCAGAGAGAAATACGGAGAATGACACGCGAGAAGGAGAGAAAAATCCAGGACTAGAAATTAGCCTACGCATCAGGCTACATAGTAAAAAATGATTTTTCGAATATTATTGGAGTATGTTTTGAAAGAAAATGCCACCTCAGTTTTTCTACTTCACGTTTAAGTCAGTGTGTTACTTGCTGATTCTTTGTAATTGTTTGTGAAATTTACTAGCAGAGGGAAAAATGTTTCCAAATTCAGAGTACAGGAAGTCTCATTGCGTATGCTTCAGTAAAAAAGGTGTAAACGTTGACAGAAAATGACGTGCACGTCAACAAACTGAGATGAACTGCTAATTGTCGAATCAATTAAAAAAAGAATTTCTCAAAAGAGTCACGCACTCATTCGCTCTCTCAGGGGTGCACTTTGGGCAGAACGGCCCCCGGTGTCTGCGGGCCTGGGCCAAACTAGCGAGCCGGCATCCGCAAGCGAGCAAGAGCAATCTGTTTTTTCATTTTTCAGCATGGCCAGGCCCAGCCGGAGATTGATCGTCACATATGGCCCCAGAAAACAAACTGTCAATACCTTGAGCGCTGGAGAATTTGAACAAATAGCCGCCCTCCCATTCAAGCTGCTCATTGCGTCCCATTTAACAGATTTTATTGACACTTTCCTTCTTGTAATTAAAGGGAAAACTACTGGCCAGGAACCAAGATAAAGTTCAAAGATGGGGTCAACACAAAGTGAGCCAGAGGGCCATGGTGCGATTGTCGATGGCCGACAACATCAGAGCCTGTTATTGACATGCAGGTGCATAGTGATGGGCTCCTTACTTAAGAGGCATCTGAGCAGAGTCTTATGCTAATTTGGAGAGGGGCCGCAGACGTGCTTTTGAAGGATTTCAAAAGGGGCAGGGAGGGGTTTAGTGTTTTGTTGTGTGTGCACGTGAATAGAGGAAGAGAAAACATGAGAGAAAAAAAGATGGAGATATTGAGATATCACTCGAACTGTACATGAATAACTCTACCACTACATCTGTTGTTAAGATTCCCATAGGAGGAGATGAAATCAAAAGCAGGGAGTTTAACTCTTTCCATGCTGATACATTATCAACAGCTATTAAGAGGGACGATGAATAAACAAACACTGCTTTAATTGAGCTGATGACAGGAAATTCAAGAGGCTTCAAGTGCACTTCAAGCTAAATGCAGCATCTTTATTTCATTTGCAGTAGGATTGCTGTAAATTATTTTGTTAATGATTTTGAACCAAAGACACTTTGGACAATGTAAATTATAATGGAATGTAGATTTTAATCAGAGCAAACATCTTATTTAATTTGACGTTAAATAAAACAAGGTTATGACAGATAGAAGTAGGTCAATGACATGTAAGTGTGTCCATGATAAAGAAAAAAAAATCATAATTCTTAAAAAAAAATGTATTCTGTATGAATAATGGTTTCATATGGTTTTATACCATTGACTCTAAAAGCATTAAGTAAAAAGTCATATGTTTTCTTTACAAATTCAATACATTAATCATTATTTTTAAAAGAAATTTCTTAAAAGAAGTTTTTAAATACATTTATTTATTTAGTTAGTTAGTTACAAATACGATGAATTACTAATTAACACATATTATTAGGTTTTTGTAAAGTTGCACCACAACACCATTGTAATGGTAATTACTAATAATTAATAATAAAAGATTTAGTCAGACTACTAAATGTAAAAATTAATTTTAATTTAGAAATTAAAAACATGCTCATCATAGAAAATCATCATATTTATAAATTGCATTTATAATTTATTTTTGAAGACATTAATTCAGGGGTGTCCAAACTCCATCCTGGAGGGCCACTGTCCTGCAGAGTTTAGCTCCAGGATTGGGCACCCCTGGATTAATTAATCTGGATTAATTGTTTTGCAATTGACCCCCCTTTTTTACTGATTTTTTGTTTCGTTGCCTGAACAATCCATAACTGCATCACATATTAAATACATCAAATCAAATATGACATCTGCTCTGACTGAAATCATAAGTGTCTGCTCATTTTACCTGAGTTAGCCAGGGCTATAGCTTTAAGAGTGACAAACTCCTCCTTCTCCAGCTTCATGCTCTTGTACTTCTTCACTAGCTGAAGAATGGTGTTATTCAGGTCTAGCAGGCCAGCCAGCTTGGACTGGTCCTCATCCATGATGTAGTCTTCAGCGTAGACCAACTTGTCCTCAAAAGACAGCGAGCGGTAGACTACACGCAGGATCAGGATCTCCATCCACGCGCTCTGCAGAAGACTCATCTGGTCCGCCAGCGAGAGTGTGGAAAACCCTGAGAAAAAGCGAGAGAAAGAGCTTTGTTCAACTCAACAACCAATGTTCAGCTTCAAATCAACATTCAACGGTGGTATATGATATGAAAGCTCAGTTGGTTGTCAGAAGTTTCTGGTTGTGTTAGTGGGAAGAATTGACATTCTGGAGGTGTAATACAGAGGAAAACTCCAGTGGGAGCGAGCTGAGGCACCTAGCACGAGCCTTGGCTCTCATCTCCTGCTGCGCTGCAGGCCAGGGGGCATCCTGAGGGAGGGCACTCCTTATCTCCCCCAACATGCAGCATGGATCAATTCTTCCCATCACACCAACTGAAAGACTAATTGCTTGCCTCAAACTCCTTCTCCTTCCTACTCCCCCACTCTGCACACACACTTTTTTCCTCATTTTCCCGTTTTTTTGCTTGAAGTAAAGGAAACTGAAGTTCATGTTCATGAATACCACTTGAAATTGACTATCACGTGTCCTTGGTCTGTCTATAATACAAGGCGGTCAACCCTCATGTTCAGTTTGAGGTGTGAGAAACATACTTAATATTGAGGTATCAGGGTGATACTTCTAGATGTTTGCTAATACAATTAGACTCCAACTATAAGAAGATTAATAAATGCAATGATTTTTTTTTCTGATTAATGCACACACTGTTGAGGGATCTCAAATTGAGGGGTAAAGCTTTAATAATTTCTATGCACTGGCTTTGGACTGGGTCAGATGAACACAATTGAAATAAACAACAACAACAACAATAATAAAAATAAAGAAAAACACTAAATAAATAAATATTCTAAAACAAATGTTATTTTTTACACACATGATTGGGACACATAAAACACAAGGGACTTAAAATAAAGGCTAAAAATGCTAATACTTTTTCCAAAACCAAAGCAGATCTAACATAGCCTGTAAAGACCAAACAATTGAAAATAAAATCTTAATAAACTGCATAAGTGCTTGAGAGCCATCGGTCAGCTCTGAAGGTGAGGGACAGTCACAACTCACAACAGCACCTGTTGGTTTTGGATCTTTTTGTCTCATCTCACTCGCTCTGCTCTTCCAAGAACAGATGAAGCGTCTCTCTTCGCGACAGCGAGGGGGCTAATCTGGGTGGCAGGGGAACGTGAGGAAAGAGATGCTCACCAACATCTGTTGTGGAGAGATGCCTTCAGAGGAAGCAAACAATTTCACTAATTTTTTCCTTTTCTTTTTTGAAATCTCTTTCTGTGAGTTAATCACTAATGGCAAGGAGCTCATTAGGTATAGGTTTCGGGCTATTGTTTATACCAACTGCTAATTTATTATCCCAAACTGTTAACATCTCTGATCTCATTAGAGGCAAACTAAGAGCTGGTGAGCAGTTGGTGCCTCCCCTGGCCTGCTGATGCTATAGTGCTCAATGCCAGTTGGCAGGGCCATCTTCTACTACTTAATAAAATCATCAAAAGGGATTAAGCCAAGAATTTCTTAAGGGGGTCCGATGTAAGACCGCTGCATTCTTACAAAGACACTGGCCTCAATGAAAGGTGGCGTGGACTAAAAATAAGATCACACTCTCATGGCCTCCTTAGAGGTATGTGTAATCCTTTTATATTGCTGAGAATTTGGAAAAAAATCCACTGGCATACTTTGAATGTATGCGAATCAGATTTTAAACTGAAAAACTCATTATAAAAAAAACAAAAACAAATCATAAGCATATTTTAGCCTATAAATAATGGGGTATTGAGTAAGTGATTGAATATTTAAAAAGCTTTTTCATGTTTAAATATTTTCTTATTTCTAGCAATATGTACAGACAACGATAAGTAAGCCATTGGTAGATTCACTTCAAAAAATTATAAACACTGTGGCGCATTTGCTCCGACACATCAACACTGGACTGAACCAATGGTGTAAGTTTGGAGTCTGTTTGTCCAACCAATGGAGGACACCAATATTATTATTTTTGCACTTCCGGTTGGTGTCACTAGTGGTACAGAAAAATTTAAAAGATTATCATCAATGGAGTTTATCATGAAAAGAAACAAATCATTCAGGAGTCAAAATGAATGATGGAAGACTGAAGACATTATGTATCAAAACCGATCGAGAGACACAGAGAGAGAGAGACAGAGGGACAAAGAGAATGAGAGCACGAGGGACAAACAGAGAGACAAAATAAAGGCAGGGGCAGGTGGGGAGGGGGTTGTAGAGTGGAGTGGAGTGGCAGATGGACGGAGCCCATCGCCTAGAGCTCCCCCTGTGCCACTCCCAGCCCTCCCTCTCAGCCACTACTGTTAGTAAATAATTAGATTTACACATTCCCCAATCTCCACACATCTCTCCGCAGAATAATTAAAAGCCGGATGATTAGTTTATTGAGTGGAAGGAATAACTTTTTTTCCCTCTTTATTGAGGTCCATCAATGATTTTATCAGGGGCTTGCGCTTTTACGTTGTCATGCCAGTGCAGGCATCCAATTTTTCTTATCTCCCTGATTAATACAAATGCTGTTTCAGGACGCATTAATTAACAGATACAAATCTACGTTCTCATGGCCGGATCGATACAGAGAAGAAAAGAGCCATCAATGTGAATTTACTGCAGATGTTGGAAAAGGTTCTCTATTGACATTTACGCGAGGGCAAACTTTAAAGATGCATTTTCCCCTTCTTTTCATCTGTTATTTCATTTCACAAAAGAGCTTGGTGGCGACCGTGATTACAGTTCACCTTTGGATGCTTTGCTGCATGAGTAAGGATCCAAAGAGCCGAATTAAAGCGTCTTGCTGTCATTTCAGCTGTGGCAAATGTGTACAACCCTTTTCCCAAAGGACTTCCTGTAACAAGAGGAAGTTTATTGACTCAGTACAGACATGACACTAGACAAGGCATGACAAACCACACACACACACGCACACACACGTGTGTGTGTGTGTGTGTTTATATTTTTTCAGAATATATATCTATATATATATATATATATGAAATATATGAATACTTGGCAATATTTATAAATAATTATATCCTTGAACATACACAAACACTATTTAATTCAGTCAATTTTAAACAGCTTTTTTATGTAAATGCATAATCTTCTTTCTGTTTCTTTCTTTCTCAAAAAGCATTTATTTACATGGCATTTATTTATTTACTAGCCATGTTAGTAAATGTTACTAGCCTCTTTTATTTGACAGACAGAGCAGACTGCCCCATCCTGATGACACATGAGCATTATCTGATCCAGCTTTCAATCTCCAGTAACGTCCTCTCAATTTAACTCTCTTAGCCCAGAGACCAGCTTCAGAGCTCAGACTCCCTCTCTCTCCAGCAGGACTGAAGGGGCTTTGCCACTGGCACAATCTCTCTTCTTCTCTCTATCTCTCTCTTTTCTCTCAGTAAACTGATGCATTTTGTGCTAGATGGGGAGGAAAGGCTAAGTATGTGGATCTGTGAAGGTTACACCAGTAGAAGGTATCTGATGGCTGAGGCCTTGTGAAACCTGCAGTGGCTTTTCAGAAGAAATAAGCACTGGAGCAGCGCATAGCACAGGCTGACAGAAAGAGGCTGCGGTGCAGCCATGCGAAGTTAACCCCTGCCGGGCAGGACTGCTCACCACCAGGCCTCACAGCAACCACCGGCCATCCGTCTGCCAAATCTTTTCTGACTGCACGTTTACACACTGAGAGAGCCCGCCGAGACAAACACACACACATATGCAGTCGTTCCTCCTCCTCGTCTTCCTCAAGGCAGACTTCACCTCAGCAACGCTGCTTAGCCGTCATATAAACACACGTGCGCTCAACTCCTCCGTCTCACTCTCAGCAACACCCCTGCTTATTTTCTCATGGTTGCAGGGTAAATGAACACGCTTGAGCAATGAGAATCAGCGCTATTCTGTGTGCCGACCACACTGGATGTTTATTTGATGCATCCTGGCTCCCTCCTGAGCTCCTGTGCGAATATACACTCTATTTGCTTTCACACTTTGTCAAGACGATGATGACATGGTGACTAATCTACTTGCAAAAATAGTGCTGTGGAGAGCGAAGGTGAGACTTAGTAATATTAGTAGTCCAAGTTGTCATATCGCCTTAACAGAACAGCATTTGATAACAAAAAAACAACCAACTAACAATCTATAATAGATTTCAATGCATTAACATCTCACAATATCCAGAATAACAGCACGATTGTGAGAGTGATATTGCTTTTATACTAGGCAGTTCAATAAACAATACATTAATATTGAATAACTTCGATTTTAAAGTTACAATATTAATATTTACATTGTGTAGATTTGGTCCGCAATGGAAATAGTTAAAAATAGGTGTTTCTATCAGTGTTTTTGAATGAATCATTTGAGAAAAGTGATAAAGACCTATTTAATTCCTGAATGAATCAGTGCTTTTGCATTAAATGACTGAACGAATTATTCAATGACTCACTCAAAAGAGTAACATGTCACCACCTACTGGGGTAACAATGCATACATCATGATTAATACACCATGAAACTGCTTAATTTTTTCTTTATGGTTTACTGTAATAATATATTGGTCAATTTTTAACAAATGTTTTGATGTAAATGCATATTTCATATTTAATTTAGTAATAATGTATAGTTTTCCTCCCCAGTTGTTTCGCCTCTGTACTACAGTATGTTGTACCAATAAAACAGATAAATAAATACTACATACACGCATAAATACATAAAGCAAGCATATGTAGTATATTTGATTCACTAAAACAGATCCGTTGTAGCATCAATCTCCAAATAAGCCATAAAAGGATGTGCCTTTGGAATACATTCAGCTGATTAGTGATTACTGTAAGCTTACAGATAAACCTGTGGTGAGGCTAATGATGCCAAAGGCCATGGTGAGACAGGAACAACCACCATGCCAGTCTGTCTATCCATTTACTGCCCCAGTGAGATGCTGAGACGCTTCCCCCTTACCAGCTAAAACAGGCTTCTACAAATATCCTCCACCTAAACAAATCCCACCCAAATAAACGGCAAATAT